TAGCTAGTTGGGGTCCTATATGCCTCAGTTATCTGAATGTCAAATTCTTCCCCTCTGTTTGGGAAGTTTTCTGTCATTAATTCTGCAAACAGCTTTTTTAAGTCATTTGTATTTTCTCCTGCTACTTCATGTATTCCTATCAGTCTTATGTTATTCTTCTTTGCATCATCTAGGAGTTGTTGGATCGATTTCTCATGATCTCTTACTGTTTTTAAGAGACCTCTCTTTTCATGGTCACTGACTGCAATCTTATCTTCTATATCTGAGAGCCTATCTTCGCATTCTTTTATTCTGTTGCGTACACTTTCAATAGAGTGTTTAATCTCCTGGATATCTGTTTGAATCTGTTTTATGGATTCCATTTCTTTCCTATGTTGGGCGTTTATTTTTTCCATTTCTTTCTTATGCTGGGCCTTCATGGCTTCTATCATGGTCCTGAGCTCATCTATTTTTTTGTCAGTTTCTGCTCTAGAGTCTCGAATCACGACTTCCATTTTGCTCACTATCTCTATGGTTATCTGGGAAATTATTTCTGTTTTGAATTTTTCTAGAGCCTGATTGATCTGTTTTGTTACTTCCTGTGCTTTGAGTTCAGGGTGTCCTGGTGGTTCACTATCGGCCTTTTCATCCTCATTTGCCCTACTGTTTGCCATTGGTGAACTGGAAGTCTGTCCTTGTATCTTGCTTAAGTGTTTTCTCATTTTAATTTTTGTTGTCGAACTGTCCTTGGTTTAATCTCTGGATTATCACCCAAATCTTCCTGATATAGTTGCACCCTAGCTTCTGTGTCTCTAACGACCCACAGACATTCTCATCTTCATAACATCAGAGAAAACAGCTCATCAAATCAACGGCAATGCTTTACCCCAACTGATACAATCAGCAACACATTAAGATCAAGCACAACTTGGACACTGACCACCTGTGGTAGTCACTAGTCTATCGCTCTTAAATCATTTGAATTAAATTGAAATCAAGAAGCAGTCCAGAACATGTCTGCAGTGAACAAACTTTTCAATATAGTGTATTTACCATTTAATGGCTCAGACAGAGCGAGGATGCAAGACCCCTGATCTCAGTTAGCTGATTGCTGAACCCCATGATGCTGACTGACCTCGGGGTGCAAGGCCCAGATTGAGTTCCCCATCCTTCTGAATGGTTGAACTCTGCAATGTTCTATTACAGGTTTCCCCCGCCCTTTCTTTAAAGATGTTCAAAGTTGGGAACTCAGAAAAATACCCTTGATGACCACCTCTGTCTTTGCAGAGTGGGTCCAAAGACTTGCACAGTCAGGAGGTCTGAGAGTGTGGGTGGGGGGGTATCAGGGTTCAGGGGCGCCCGCACGCCTACCTTCCCGGTGCTTGAGCAATGGCTGCTGGGTCGGGAGCAGGCGTGGTTCTCATGCTTGTTGTTTTAAATTGCTAGATTTTAGAGTAATTTGTTCCTTGATAATAGATAATTACTATAGAGTGCTACATTATCATATCAAGTCCTTGCAACACTTCTGATGGTTGGAGACTGTTTCTCCCTTTTACAGATGAGAAAACCAAGGCTTGGCTGTGTGAAGTGACTTTCCACGCCTGGGGTGTGGCACATCTGGGATTTACCCTCCTGCTTAGGGGATTCCAAAGCAAAGGGCAGCTGGTTCTGTTTTCTCAGCTGAGATATCCTCAGTTCCAACATGAAAAAATGGGGCCATGAAAAAGAAAGCTTTTTTTTTGGTGTATTTTTCTTTATCCCTTAAAAAAATTCCAGTCAGATTAGACAGCATCTACTACATGTGTTGTGTATGGGACTCAAGGACAAATAGGCTTATGAGAAACAACATGGTGATTTGGAGAAGAGATACATAGGCTCTTGAGTGACCTTGGACAAGTTCTTGTGCTTTCTGGGCCTCAGTTTCTTTATTTACTCTATGGAAAGTATATGGAGAGGTTTGTCTTAGGAAGCAGCATCTCGCCTAGGGCTCCCAGCCGCACACAGCTCCCTCTGTACATGTGGGAAGGGCACCCTTTCTACTTCCCTTGGTTCTTGCTTAGGGGATAGAGAACACTGAGCATCACTGAAGGCCCAAACCTAACCTTTCAGCCTCAGCCTCACCATGTTCTCTCTCTGGAGAGCCATGCTGCAGCCCCACAGAACTAATGGAAATTTCCTCAGTCTGCCAAGAGCTTTCTGTGCACTGAGCCTTTATCTCTGCAATTTCTTCTTCCTGGACGCCTTTCCAAACTTCTCCACTGGGTGTGTTCCTACTACTCATCTTTCAAGACTCAGCTGAGATGTCCCACATCTAGGATGCTGCTCCTGACCTGGTTCAAGGCATCCTACTTCTCTTGATTATTGCTTCTGCCTCCTGTCTGAGCCCCTGGCCTCTAGCTTCTCTCTTCCACTCAAAGCCCCCATGGAGCAGCCACCTGCCTTTCTAAAACTCACATCTTGTCATGTCACTCCCTGCTTAAAATAACTGGTCAATGGAATAATCCATCAATCAACGCTTCAAAGGCTCCTCTTTGCCCTTAGGAAGGCATCCAAAGCCTTTATCTGGATCTCAAGGCTTGGTCTGCTCTGTCTCTCCCGACTGTCCTGCACACATGGTACACTGCCCTTGTCATCATGTCTCAGACACCCCATGCTCCCTATCTTTTCTCATCCTGTACTTTTCCCTTGCCTGGTACCCTCTTCTCCACCTGGGGAAGCCCTAGCTAATCTTTAAAGTCAGGTCTACTATTTTCCCTGCCAGGAAGCCTTTCCAGCTGGCCCCAGGAAGAGCCCGTGGTTTTCTCTTGTTCTCTTTCCTGGGTGATTACTTGTGCATGTGTTACTACTTGTCAGCGAGTCTCTTATATGCAGAGTCTCCTGAGAGCAGGCTGTCTGACCCATGGCTGTGTCCCCCAGTGGTGCCAGCACTGGGCACAGAGCAGACATGTAGGATATATTGGCTGGCTGAGTGAAAGAATAAATGAGTAGGAAATGAATCCATCTCTGAATCATCACTTCTCACCTAGCCCCAGAACTGCATTTTCCTGGGGGGAGCCTCTTTTATAGACAAGGGAGAAAAAGGAGGAAGGGATTGCTCTGGAATGGAGAAAGAAAACCAATAAAAATGTAAATTTGGTGGAGAAAAGCTCTCCCAAGCTGGCTGTAGGGAGAGATAAGAATGGGCTAGTTGAGTCCATGCTGAGAGTGGAGGAGAGATTAGGGGACAGTGGGACTGTGCCAGGGCAAGGAGAGGCACTGTGATTCACTTCGGTCTTCCCTGCTTCTTCACACCCCCTGCTCCATGTGCTCATTAAACCCCTGCAGGGACAGAAGAAGAGAAGGAAACTTACAGATCCTGATCATCAGGTGCAGTTCTGGGAGACAGGAGACAGGCCTGATCAGCCTCGAGTTAGAGGTGAAGAAACTGAGCATACCCAGGAGTCAGGTCACTCACTCAGGGCCATGCTGCAAATAAAAGAAGACTCAAGGTCTGAACTCAAATCTATCTCTATGGCTCTGATTTTTTCCCTCAGTGGAAGGTTTTTTGACCTGGGATCATGGACTCTTGAGCATTCTACACCTGGGCTTCAGAGAGTCCTCGGTCTCTAAAATTGCATGCACAGTTTTGTACATTTGTGTATGTGTGGTTTTTTAAATTAAAACTTTAAATGGAGAGTCTGTGTCTCTAATCAGATTTCCAATGGTGGCTGTCACCTGACCTTCACTGCCTATCCCATGTGATTCCAATAGTGGCTCCTTGCTCCCATTTTCCAAGGGGCCTCTGCCTGCCTTGCAACTTCCCAGTATGTGTTACAAGCACCAGGAACCTAGGCAAGACATCAGGATGTCAGTACTTGTCCCAGTCCTGTCCTCTGTTGGGCTTTATCACCACTACAGTTGAGCAGGGGACTTAATACTGTCTCCACCCAACTCCCTGGGGCAGGGGGAGAAGACAGCAAGCTCACAGATGCACATTCTGTAGGCTCATTATTGAGCAGAGATTCAGAAATTCTTTTAATCATCATGGAAGAAAAAGTATTTTAAATAAAACCCTAATTGCAGCAATTAATAAAAAATATTTCACTGGGTGTGGTGGTGCACACCTGTAATCCCAGCATTTGGGAGGTTGAGGCAGGAGGATCGCTGTGAGTTCAAGACCAGCCTGGGCTACATAGTGAGTTCCAGGTCAGTCTCAACTACATAGTGAGACCTTGTCTCAACTCCCCCACCAAAATGATTTTCTTGAGTGGTGTGATGTATTTGTTTTTCTTTTTTCTGCTTCTAGGTAAATATTCACTTTCTCGCCTTAATTTGTACAGGTTGAACATCCTTAATCAGAAAGTCAAAATCTGAAATGTTCCAAAATTTGAAACTTTCTGAGTATCAGGATCAGTGGAAAACTCCATACCTGATCTCATGTGATGGTCTTTTGTCAAAACACAAGCACACTAAAAATATTGTGTAAAATTATCTTCAGTGTATGTGTATAAGGTGCATATGAAACACAAGTGAATTTTGTGTTTAGATTAGGGCTCCATCCCTAAGATATCATGCTACAAATGCATATATTCCAAAATCTGAAAAAAGCCCAAACAAACAAAAAATACAAAACACTTCTGATCTGAAGCATTTTGAATAAGGGATACTCAACCTGTCTTCATATCTTTTAAATTCTTTTTCTTAAATAGATCTTCCTCAAATTGTATTAGCTTTGGTTCCCACAAGATCTGGACTCAATCTTGGCTCCATTGTTTATTTTCTGTGTGGTCTCAGGTAAGTCACTTATCCTTTCTGAGCTGACTTCCTCTTCTATAAAATGTAAATGACAGCTTGGAAAGGTGAGGACCTAGCCTTATGACCTTCTTCCATTTTTGAAAACATGACTCAAGGAAGTGACCCAGCCAAATGAAAATTAGACCAGAATATAAAGCGAGGGAAGGATGCAATATATCAGAAATAATGGTAAACAATGAACCCAGTAAAATTTAAATCTAAATAACTGGAAATAATGTGGTCGTTGCAAACCTCTAATGCAGTTTATAAGAAGGGAGTTTTGTAATAGAAGAGACATTATACAAAAGCAAATTTAATAATAAGCTGTATTTATAATTCCAAATTATGTCTGCAAAACCTGGGCAACAGGGGGGAAGGACTATAAACCTACTGAAGCCTCATCTTGTTGGAGGAGACTTTGAAATTCTTGGCATTGAAAAATACAGGCTCAGATATTTGTCAAGCATTTATAGTTAAGCAATAGAATAAAATAGGAATTAGACCTATACCTCCTTTGTCATCTTTCACAAGGGAAAGCCCCAGAGTTCTGGCACTGGGAGCTGCTCAGAGGCCAAGAGCCATGAGTGCCCCTGCCCAGCAGTGTTGGGCATGCGGGTGCCACCAGCAGTAGCTCTCATTATGCTCTTTCCCAAGACACAGGCTCCAGCCAGGTGTACAAGTGGCAGCAGATGGGGCTGAGAGTAATCAGGAGACACTCTCCTAGCCCTGGGAAATAACCAAGACAGATAACAACTGGGCAGAAAACAAGACAAGTCCTGTTATAGCAATGGATCAGGCAGTTCCAACCCAAGCATGCTACAGTACAGCTCATTGCCCAGAGCTGGGTGTCACTATTCCCAGTGCGATGGGCCTGGGCTTGCACCAATCCACAAGCCCCAGAGAGCCAGAGGCTACCACCAATTTGAGCCTCATATGGTCCAATGACAAGGACTTAGGCACTTCAGAAGAAAAGAGGAAGCTAGGATTCTATTCAAAAAAGTCAGAGACTTTGTTGGCTCCTTGTCAAATATGTGAGATCTTGACAATGCAGAGATAGCAACTGGTCTCTGAAGTTAGAAAACGCACAAGTGTGAGGGTCGGTCTCCCCTTCCAGTCGGGGCCTCTAAGGCAGGGGCTGGGGCTCACCCCCAAACTGTGGCTCCTTGAACAGGGACTTCCTGAGTCTGAGTGGGCAAGGCTCCATGCCAACCTTCCCATCCCTGAGTTTTGCCAAACTGGGAGGTCCTGGAGCAGGAGACTTGCTTCCTTGTGGGACTCCCCTTAAAAACCAACTTTGGGCTCAGCCTCCAGAGGGCGCCAAAGGGACAGTTCTTGAGGGTTGGGGAGGAGACCTGTGTCTCCTGACCACACAGATGGTCACAGATGAAGGATCTTGAAAGCTGGCCAGTCCATTCCCACCGATAGAGGAGGGGACTGATGCCCAGGGAGGAAGCTCCAGGTGAGAGACAGCGCAGGGCTGTGTGGAGGGGAGCCTGGTCTACTCTGGTCAATTTCCCTATCCTAGGGCCCCAGGTGAAGATATACAGCCGGCCAAGTCAGGAAAGCTGGATTTGGGGTCAGCTGGATGTTAGGGGAGGACTCAGGAAGACCCTCTTATTTCAGAAGTGACCACTATGACAAATACCCAAATAAGTCCTTGGTTCCGATGGGAAAGCAAAGGCCCAGAGAGAGCCAGTAGCTTGGAGCCAAAGCTGGGACACAGTGTTCTTTACACTCAATCTTGGACAAGTGACACTGAGGAGGTACCACTCTGGCTGCCACTCTCGGCCAGGGTGGGTCCCAGGACAGCTCACACACTGGAATCCTTTGGCTTCTTTTCTGGCCTTGACATTAGTGGTTGCTGTAGGCCAGGGCTAGATGCAGCTGCCTTGGTCTCCTCCTCTTTGTTCTGCTGCCTCAGGACAGTCAAAACCAATGCAAAGCATACCAGTGAGCCAGTTTTGAAGAAGAACTGGAGACCAACGAACCTGGGGAGGAACAGGGGATCTTGAGCTGAGGAGCCCAGATCCAGGGCCTGCATGTCCTTGGGTGGGCAGCGAGTGGAGTAGTGGACAGTATTCTTTATGCAGTTGGACACTTTGAGGTTGGGGGTCACTAACCCCTGTTCGGGTCCTTCCCTGGAAGAGGGGGCTGGAGACTCTGCAGAAGGATCCCAGGGCAGAGACAGAAGCCTATTCCTGTGCTCTGTCCTTGACTGATACGACCTGGCCTGGCTCTGGCTCAGGGGCCCTGACAAGCACCTTGGGATGGTCCCATGCCCTACAAGGAACACAGGATTCTCTATCTCCTGTTCATTTAACTCACCAAAGCCCTTTGTTTGACTTTTCTCCTCTGCGAAGTGCCACCCCCTCAGCAGTTCTTGCCCATTGGAACTGTGTCCTCATTAGAGCTGGAAGTAACCTGTTCCCTGACCCTGGCACTGCTAGCAAGTCCTCCCCACACCTATCCCGGGCCAGTGACTTCTAAGCTTTTGGGTCCTTTTGAAAAACCTGATGGGAACACTGAGGCCCAGGCAGGTAGACAGGGTTTTCTTCCAGCCTCCCCCAGTCTTACAGCTGGGCTGCTCCCGAACCTCCCCAGATCCCTAAGTCCACTCTGTGATCAGAGATCTCACAGACCAGGCCTAGCTGTGCAAGTTGTTAGCTAGCTGCATGACCTCGGGCTGCCTACTTGAGCTTTCGCTTTCCTCATCTGTGAAAGAGCAGAACAGTACTGTCCAGCTCACAGGGCTGGTGACACAAGCAGCACTGGAAACACAAGCAGGTCCATGGAAATGGGACCCTTTCCCCCCTGGTGTCCTGCCTGGGGTCCCCAGCACCCTTCCCATACCTTTGTCCAAGTCTCACCGGTTTCGGAGCAGGTCAAGGTCATAGTAGCGGCAGACGGCTCGATGCCCACAGCTCAAGGCCCAGTGCACACAGGTGGTATCAATGGCGCTGCCATGGATCACTGGGCTTGGCATCCAGGCTGGGGGAGGAGGTGCTCAGGGGACAGCGAGGCCAGGTGATCCCCAGCCTCCCTGCAAGCCCTCAAGGGATTCAGGCCCTAGGGGGTCTCTTGGCTCAGGAATCTGGTCTCCAGCCTGTCCCTTACCAAGCACTGGAGGGAGCCTCCCTCCTATCAGGTGGCCCAGTTTCTACATGCACACCCACGTCCAGACACCTGCTGCACCCACACCTATTAGCCCCAAGGCCAGGGAGCAGGGTCTTTTCAGGCCTGTGGCCACTAGGTCTGTCACACAGTGGGCACTGGACTCCCATCACCACCACCTGGGGGCCCAACCAGGCTCTTTACCCAAAACTCTCAGGAGCATGAACTGGATGCCCACAGCCAAAGTCTTATCTTCTTTCTTCACACCCCTTAAAAGCAGAAACACAGGGATATGAGGACCGAGAGGGCTATACAGCAGTGTGGACTCTCCCCACACCCTTTTCTCCCACTGTCCATGCCAGCCTCCCCCAATCTGAAGTTCTAGCCTAGGGGCTCAGGCACTGTACTCCACCCCTTCTCAACCTGCAGAGCCCACACCCACTGACCATCAAAGCCCCATGCCACCCTCCCTATGCTCCCCACTACAGACACACCCTTGTTCCCCTGCTTCCTGGTCCCACCAAATACTCTTTTTCCTCCTATACTTGGCAAGATCTGGAGCTGGGACAGTCAGCCGCCCGCTCCAGCTTCTCCAGCCCTGTGAATCATGCCTTGGGATGCCCCACCAATTGCTGGCTCCTTCCAGACAGTGGCAAGTGCTTGAGGAGCACTTCCTGTGGACTCAGCAACTCTATACTCTATCCCTACCGCTCTCCTAGGAGGCAGCTCTACCATTAGTTCCATTTCACGGGTAAGCAGACTGATACCCAGACAGGCTTGATGACTTGGCCAAGGGCTCATGGCTCAAGAGCTGGGACTCACGCTGCCCACAGGCTACATTCTCACTTCCCATGCCTTCTGATGCTCTGCTTCCTCTCTCATGCCAGTCTGTTTCATGGATTCCCTCTTCTTCTAATATGCCTGGGGGCTGCATTCCCTTCTAATTTTCTAAAACATAGATGGTGAATACAATAAACCCAGCAGACTGGAATTATCTTCCTCCAAGGTCTTTTATCCCACCCCTTTCCCAGGAGATCCTGACTTTGAACTTGGACTTGGGCAACAATTTGTCAGACCCAGCAGGCATTCTTGGAACAGAGGGCAGGAAGATCTTGTACCAAGAAGTAATACTCAGCATGGTCTGGGTCCTCTGTGGGCCCTTACTACTCGATGTTGCCTTGAAGGGAATGGAGGCTGGGGGCCACACGGGTCCGGTTTGCTCCCTGGATGCATCTCTGTGGCTCAGCCATTGCAGGTGCGGTGGGGAGCTCACCTTCTCCTCACCATATGATGCCCTCACTTGGGGAGGACCAGACAGGGCTGTAAGTGTGGTCTCCCCTCCCCAGGTCAGGGGGACCAGGATTGAGAGACTCTGGCTGGAGCACCAGTCCTCCCTGGCACTTGCTATATGACTGGGGCTAGCTCCTGAACTTCCCTGAGTCTGTGTCTTCTTGTTTGCAAGATAAGGAGAAAACTATCTCAGCAGGCTGCCAGGGGGAAGAAGTCAGGGCAGGGAGGGCCTGGTCTGTTGTGGGGGCCCAGGACACTTGAGTGGCCTCCTTTCTCCAATTCTCCCCTTGGAATGTCCTGGCTATGGCTGAGGGCCTCTTGGTATTCTCCCATCCCGCCACTGCTTTTACCTTAGGATGAGCATAAAGCCGGGTGTGTGGGTGACACTGGCCAGTGCTGCTGCCAGGCTGACCAGGAGGATGAAGGGCAGCACCAGGTGGCTGCAGGCTGAGTCACAGGAACCAGCGGGCACTGGGCCTCCCCCAGCCACACAGCTGCAGTTGCTATAGAAAACCTGGGGGTGGGAGTGGGAGAAGGGCCTCAGGAGCCTCCAAAGAGGCAGCTGCTAAGGGCCTGTGGCAGAAGAAGGCTCCAGAGGGGTCCCATGGCCCACAGCCAGCTGAGGTGGAACTGAGTGCAGGTGGCTTGAGGAGGTGCCCGGACATAGGCTTCCCTGCAAAACCTGAGCTGAGCCAGGCCTCCAGCCACTGCAGGTAGAGAGGTAAGGGAGAAGGACCCGGAAGAGCACCACCCCCAGAGAGGACACATCAATGGCAAGGGAATGTCCTCAGTGCACTTGACTGAAGCCTGTGTTCATAGTCTTTGGTGGCAGGAAAAATCTCCAGCCAAAGATTCTTTAAGAAGTTTGGCCACCAGTGCCCTTGGGCATCTATTAGGACCAAAGCCAAGCCAAGAACCTGGGCTTTACTCCTCTGTCAAAGAGCTTTCTGACCTGTGCACCGCAGCCAATGGTGCTTCAGATGGAGACAGGGATTGGTCTCACCATCTCTCAAGGTGGCCCCAGGGCAGCTGGAGCCCTCTGGGCTTGTCACCTCCACTCATGGGAGCCTCAGAAACTTCCCAGGGTGAAGGCCTGAGGTGGAGCGTGGGAAGGTTGGAAAGATTTTAAGCATGGCAGAGATAAGTCCTGATAGTCTTGTGTACACGTGCTTTGGCAACAGCTTGGAGGATGGATTGGATGGGGAGGCCTGCAAAAGGCCCCACTGTGGGTTGGAGTGGATGGGTAAAGGGGTTTGGATTTGAAATGATTTATGTGGTGGATTAAAGGAAGGAAGAGGAGAATAGGAAGAGGGGTAGGGAGAGGAGAGATAAGGAGAGGACAGGACAGGATAGAAGACAGAACAGGACAGGAGAGGAAGAAGAAGACAGATGAGAAGAGACGTAGCCATGGGCAGCTTGACACTCTTTGCACTGCCCAGTGGAGCTGCTGTGTGTGAGCCAGATACACACCAGTTCACACTGCAGGACAAGTGGATTTTGGGCCTTGTCTGTAGACTAAGTGACCTGGAGATACAGCAGGAGGACAGGTATTGGAGAAATACCTCAAGGCCAGGTGAGAAATACCCCCAAACCAGGGGCTCAAAGGAGAGGTCTTAGACTAAGTGACCGAGAGATACAGCAGGAGGACAGGTATTGGAGAAATACCCCCAAACCAGGGGCTCAAAGGAGAGGTCCTGGGACAGACACCAAGGCTGGAGACCTTCCTCTCCGAGTCTTTCTGATCATTCACTCACAGGCACCCAAACCCCCACGGTGGAAGTTCTTCCCACAGTTGCCTCCAGTGTCTCCAGCTGCCTCTGCATCTCTCCCGCAGGTGCTTGGCCCCACCTAGAGAGCCTTTGGTCCTGCCAGCTCCCAGGTCACTCTATCATTCTGTTGCTGAATGCAGCTGCGCTGGGCACAGATCAATTCACGCCTGTGGAAGGTGATCACAGGCAGCCCAAGGAGGCACATGGAGCAAGAGACAATTCTAGGCCAGCCTGAGGTCCTTGAGTGCTGACCCAGTCGCTGCTGCATGCTGCTCTAAATACTACACCAAAGCCAAACCTCTGCAGCCAATCCAAAGGGCAGCTGGGCTGGGGCCAGAGCCTCGGAGTTTTTTTCAGTTTTTAGTTTTCTGGTGCTGGGCATTGATCCCAAGGCCTTATTCCACCAGTGGTGGCAAACGCTCTACCACTGAGCTACACCCCCAGCCACTCAGAACCTTGGTTAGAACTAGCTCTGGTATGAAGACCGTGGTCTTCTGCTTGGTCCTTTCCCGGGCCTTCATTTTGTATCGTACAATGGGTAGAATAGAAGTGACTACTTCAAATCTCCTAGGGCCTCTGCCTGTTGCTGTCCCTGCAGGCCCGTCACACTTCACACTTCCAGACACTCTTGCTCTCTCACTCTGGCGCTCTGCCCTCTGTCTCTGTCCGTCTGACTTCTTCCTTCTATTGGCAGATGTAGAGCATTATTCTCTCAATAAGCTTTCATTGCCAGCCTGGGCCCAGAGAGGGGAGCCAGATCTGGCAGTCAAACAGGCTGCAAGAAGGATGCAAAAAGAAATCACTTGTGGAAAATCCAGGATGTGGATGGGCAGTAGTGGTCCCTGTGGGTACAGATAGGGATGGAGAGAGGCCCGTCCCGAGCGTCCCAGATGGCTTCAAGGGAGGCAACATTTTCCCAGATCTCTGAAGATGAATGGGTAAATTAGGACCTGGAAACAAAGTGATTTCTAGGCAGGGGGAGCAGCATATGCAACGATTTGGAAGAATACGTGTATGTGTGTGTACATGCACGCTCGTGCACACACACAGTGTTTCAAGTAACAGCAAGTCTTGTTAGAGAAGCAACATGAGGGATTCACGGAGGAAAAGCAAGACCCAGGCAAGGAAGGGCCATGAACCTCAGGGAAAAATCGAGGACTTTATCTGCAGAGTGGTGGGGAGCCATGCCTGGGCTTTAAGCAGGGGCACAACAGGATCACACGTGTGCTCTACCCTGCCACACTTGAGGCTGTAGTACGGAAGAAGGAAAGCAGAGTGCAGGACAGGAGAGAGAGCAGAGAGGAGGCTGGCACAAGCCCCACTCAGTGAGTCACTGAGTCCGTTGACGAAGTGTCCCTCAGCCCCTCTTCGGTGCCAGGCCCTGTGTGGGGCTGAGGACCCACAGCCAAGGAGCTCAGCCCCGAGGGGGCTCCCAGTGGGGAGATGAGATCCATGTGATGAGCAGCAGTGCGCTCTGCTGAGCCCTGTGAAGCAGAGGTTGGGCCAGAAGCCTGCCTCACCTTGCTATTATCCAGATCCTCCTGGACCACCTGGGCTGTGCAGCCAGCATGGCAGGGCGTGATGTACTCCACAAGGGCACCAGGGTCGCAGACGGGGTTAAAGCCATCGACTGGGCAGGAGCAGGGTGCCATGCAGCCTGGAAATAGCTCTGCACTGGGCTGGGTGCTGCTGAAAGAGGAGGCAGCAGGGTTGGCCCAGCTCTCCTCCCCAGCCCTGCAGCCTGGCTCCTACCCCAGTGAGTCGGGGCCAGAACTCTGAACTGGCCCCTGGGGAGGGTTTCACTGTCGGGGCTCCCCACAGGGGCGTGTGAGCAGGGAGATGGGCTGAAGCTTGGAAGGCTCTTGGTGCAGAAGTGGGGAGTCTGGGCCATGGCCAGAGCCCCTGCCAGACCTAGATCCTGCACATCTTTGAGCTGTTTCTGCAAATGTCCCGCTCCCCAGTGGCTCTTGGGTAGGGAACTCAAGGGAAATTCCTTCTGAAGTTTAGTGTCAGATGAAGAGGCCTTTCTTTCCAGGAGTCAGGTTGCTTCCTATTCTCAGAAAAGTCCAGCCATGTATGGAGGATTCAGCCAGGAGACCGGATCAACTGTGAGATGTCCAACCTGCTCCTGCCACCCTCTGGGCCTCGGTTTCTCTGTCTGCCAGCTAGGCTGGGGCTCCTTCTCCCCACTGCTCTCCTGCAGTATCAGGCTCTCTGCCCTACCTACCATCCTGCTCACCGTGTTCAGTCCCACCTGCCTCCCTCCAGAGGGCTGCTTTCAAATTCCAGGGTGCCCCTGCCCCCTTGGTCAGGGCAAGGTGGGGATGGACAGAAGCAGGAGGTCAGAGAGAGGCTGAGCTGGAGGTGCCAGATCACCCTGAGAGGGGGCAGGAAGGTAGCCCCTGGGACACAGGCTACGGCCTGGCTTCATGCTAGGCAGGAGCACAGCACACCTGCCAGGAGACAGAGACCCAGAGAGGCTGGTGCAGGGTCACAGGTGCCAGTGGCCACATCTATAGGACGGAGACATGGGCTGCTGGAGGGCCTGGCAAGCTTGGTATATGCTCAGTTCTGTGCACAAGAGGGCTGGCAGGGGTTAGGGAGGCTGGGAGAGGGACAGCTGCTGAGAGGGCCTTAGAAAACTTGGGGGAGGGATGGAGGAGGATGTGGCAGAGGCGAGCTCCTCCCTGCCTAAGGTAGGGGCCTGCCTCTCCCCCTCTTACTGGAGACAGAGATCACCAAGAGCATTGCCAGCACAGTCCTTTCTTCCTCCTCCCCTGTCAGACAGTGGTCCTGGATCTGATTTGGTCTTGGTGAGTCTTCCATGGGAAGGGGCACGGGGTGGCACTGCCTGAGCTGCGGACCCATCAAGAGTCTGTGCCAGGGGAACCTGCCAGTAGAGAGGCACTTCCCAGAATCTTCTGCCAGCAGCTGGAAGGCCAAGCACATGAGAGAGCTGGGGAGAGGCTCTTTCTCAGCCCCTCCTCCCTCCTTGACCACCTGGAGCTGGCTGCTTCTGTGGGAGAGTGCTAGCCCAGGCTCTATCCTCTGGGTGGGTGACTTCACTTCCCTGAGCCTCATTATGCTTATCTGTAAAATGGGTTTAGGGGACTCACTGAGATGTAACAGGGGAAATGCTAGGCCTGGGGTCGGGTACGTGGGAGACTTTCCATTTTATGTCTGCCTGTGTCACTAGCTTCACAGAAGTATGAGGTTCTTCTTGACCTATTAAAATAGTTCCCAAAAGCTTCTTCAATGAATTAGAACCCAGAGCTTGGTGAGCGAATTGCAAGAATATGGATGAGAACAAAGGTGAGCTGTCAAAGCTGAGGAATGAGAGGGAGGAGGAGATATGAGGCAGGATGAGTGGGCTGACTTTTTTTCATTTATTCGAAAAAGCTGTGGTAAAATATTTACTCAAAAAATCATTGAAAGGGCCTGGGTCCATCGCGTCTTGGCCTTTTGGCTAAGATCAAGTGTAAGGACCTGGGTCCCTCCTCAGGCTGGAGACTTCCCAAGGGCATAGCTGCAGGACTGCAGAAGAGCCCACTCCAGGCAGCCCAGTTTCTTCCCTGTCCTGGAAAAGGAGAGGGGACAGGGAAGGGAAGGGAAAGGAGGCAGAGATGGAGGAGGTCCCAAGGGTGAGACCCGGGGTGGGGGGGGGCTTGGCCCCAAGCCAGGCCTGCAGCCACGCAGAAGGAGCCCCAGGTGAGAAAACCGGCTCATGGGTGGAGAGGGTGCCAGGCGATAGGCGGGAGAGAGAAAGCTGCGGAATTCTAGAATTCTAGCTGCGTGTGAGGCCAATTTAAACCTGGAGTCGTTTCCAGGGAAAATGAGATCATTCTGGGGAAGGGGCAGGGATGGGACTTCCAACAACTTCTCCAAGAAGGATCTCAAGGGGAGAGGGTGTGTTTGCTGGGCGAGGGCAAGTAGGAAACATCAGGGATCTTTCACCAGGAAGGTGGAGTCATGTCATTGCCTCAGAGACAAGGATCAAGAATTCTAGAACAGAATTTTAGCTCTCAGTATCTAGGAGCCAAGAATCGCAGAGTACTCCAGTCTACTTTCCTTGCCCAACTTTCCTCTTCAGCCTGTGTGATAGGAACCACCCAGTCCCTGCTCATCCTCTCTCCCAGGGATGGTGCTTGTTCTCTTCTGGGCAGTCCTAACCCCTGCCTGGGAGCAAAGGCCTTCCTCTGCCTGAGCTGGGCCCTGTCTCCTACAAAGTGGCCTCTGTCTCACTTCAGCTGGGCACACAGGGATCAGCTATTCTGGAGATGCCACTCACAGGTGGTTTTGCTCTGCTGTGGCCTTCAGCCGCCCGCAGATCTGAGCTTTCCTACCCCTGAAGTTCCATCTGTGCCCCTTCTAGTAGTGCCTGTTGCTGTTACTGGAGCCTTCCAGACAGAATGTCCCCTGCTTGGGAATGAGCCAGTAGAGGGTGACACAAGGGAGCTGGATGTGTGGCGGGGATGCCCACTGACCTGAGGCCGCTGCCTTCCCTGCCTACGAACCCTGCCCCCACACACTCACCCAGGCTGTGGAGTTATGCCTGCGATCCGGTGGCTTGAGCAGCCAAGGAAGAAGAGAGGCAGGCTGACCACCAGAGCGAGCAGCGACCCCAGCACACAAAGGGCTCCGCAGCGCATGGGACCCAGGTGGAGGCGCTTGACGAGGACGCTCCCCACCACGATGCCCACAATGGCCGTGGGGATGGTGAGCCCTCCGATCAGCATGTTGGCGAAGGAGGCTGTGACGGAGAACTGGCGCTCCAGGAACTTAGGCAGGAAGGTGGCCATGCCTGCCACCATAGATGACATGCACAACTGAGACAGGACCACCAGAAGGAAGATGGGATGGCGCAGGGTCTGCAGCAGCACCCTGGGGAAGACTGTTGGACAAATAGAGAGGAAGTCAGCAGTCGGAGTGGGCAGGCCAGCCATAGCCTGTGTCTGCCCTCCCACCCTGTTCTGTTCAAACTGCCCTCTTCTTTCTGTTGCTTTCCATCCCAGCCCATTCCATCTAATCCCATCCCACCCCATTTAATTCTACTACATTCAATTCTATTCTGTTCCTTTTGACCCCTTTCCATTAAATTCTATTCCAGTTTTGGATTAGATTGCATTTTATTAAGTGTGTTTATTTCCATTCAGTTCTGCTCACTTCCATATGGTTCTAGTCCATGCCATCCCTTTTGATTCTATTTCATTCATTCTGTCCTGTCTCGTTTCATTCTTCCAGTTCTACTTACCACATTCACACCACCACCACCATCACTAGGTCTTTTTCACACTGTCCTGCTGTAGCATTTTCTAAGCCAGCACAGGCTTGGGACCTCCCTTCTGTCTCCCCAATCCACTCCTGCATTCCTACCCTGAGTTCTCCATCCCTAGATTTTTCCCAGAGCAATGTACCTAACAGAGTATACATTTCATTCATTTAACCATTTCATTGTTACCCCACCTATTTTAACTTTAGAGCAGGGTTTATTTTTTTTTGTCTGTCTTCATTGCTGAATCATCAGAACCTGGAACATTGTAAGCACTCATTAAATATTTGTAGAATAAAGGAATGAATGAATGTATATATAGATTAATACACAATCAAATGTCAAAATTTCTGGGTCAGAATCTAAGTTTTGTCTGTCCTTAGAGCATGACTGAGCCAGCTGGTTGTCTAGACCCCTGAGTTTGGCCGGCCCAGGAGCTGTTTTCTTAGGAGCCAGAAAATGAAGAAAAATCATCTCGTTGGGGTGGGAGGGGGCTGGGGCTGTGGAATTCCGCCTTTTTGTGTCCCAAGCCTGCCTCCTGGCCCTAGTCCCTTGCCACGTTTGGGTGCAGCCAGATTTTGAATTGAGTGGTGTGGCCCTGGCCCTCACTCTATGTAGCTGCTGCAGTTTCCTGCTCCCCTGATTCCTCGTCTGAACCAGGGGATTTTAATCTAGCTCGGACCAAGTAGTACAGATGCCTTCACTGCAAATGGGGCCCAGAGATGGGCAGGGATGTGTCCAAGTTCATCCAGAGAGGCCAGGGCTAGCCCAGGAGTTCCCTGGGTCTGCTGACTCAGTCTGTCCCTCTGCCATCTCCACCTGCCTCCTCCTCCATCTCCATCCGCTCTGGCAGCTTGACTTCAGAGGGCTCCCTCCAGCTGCACGAATCCCTGCAGTGTACTGTGTGCCCCTCCTCCACCTCTCCTTGGCATCCATGGCCTTCTCCAGGACAGATGGAAAATTCCTGGAGGGAAGGGCTGTGCAATTTATTTAGATGGTGATACCTGAAGGGTAATTCCAGGGCCCGCCTCCAGCTCACAGGCAAGTCTTCCCATAGGACAGGGCTTTCCTCAGCCCAGCGTGATGTCTTCCAGTCAGGCAAGCTAGGGCCTTCTGCAACTATATCTTCCTCATCAGTCAGCTCAGAGGCCAGGTACCTACCTCAAATAGGGTAGTTCCTCTCTCAGTTTAGTACTGTGTGAGTCAGGACCTCTGCCTCTCTCATGGCTTCAGGAGGTCAAAGCCAGTCTTGGGGTCAGACTGGACCCTTTGAAGCTGAGCAGAAGCCTAGAGGCCAGGTATCCAACCAGCCATAGGACCTGTGATCAGCCCTGCCTTGGTCTCCTGTAGGAACTCACAAAAGCTATCAGTGATCTAGCACACCCACTCTAGTATTCAATTTCAGCAACCTCTCTCTGGGCCAGAGCCAAAGCAGTGATTAATAATTTCTCCCTGGGGCAGTGTGCTGAAGTTTTCAACAGCTGGGGGTGATCTAAATTAGTGGGCTCTAGCCCCCACCTCTAGGCCTGGCCCAGGGGAGCCCAGACTTTGCTTTGCTGGCGATTCTTGAGAATGTGGAAGTAGATTACTAATACTACAGTATCAAGTCTTACAAAGCTCTTCCAAGAACTGGACCCAATTCCCTTCCTGTTTCAAAAGACAATGAGAGTTAAGCACTGTCCCAAACCACAAGCTGCTCTATTTACTATCCCAGGGTGCAGTCTGGATAAGAATAGTAGGGTAGGAGCGATCATGGAAATAAGTGAATCTTATAAGAGTACGATTTTTAAAATAGTATACAGGAACATTCCATGCATCATCCCATTTGATTCTCATAATAGATCTTGGGAGTGGCAGAACAAGGATTATTAATCCAATCCTTCAGATGAGGAAGCTCAGATTAGAAAAGTGAAGTAACTCTATAAGATTGTGCAATAGTCCATGTGGGCAGGCCTCAATACTAGGTCTTCTGACATGTCATTTAGTACTTTTCAGGAGCCCAACACTCAATAAATGTTCACGGAATTGGGATCTGGTCACAATAGGGACTCTAGTTACTGACTGAGTTCATAGTCTCAGGATCAGAGCTGCAAGAATCTTCTAGTCAGTCTACTTTTCACTCTACTGAGAATCTTCTAGTCAGTCTACCTTTCACTCTACTGTACTGGGGAGACTGAGGCCTAGAGGAGAGTAAGGACCCAGAACAAAAGCTCAGAGCTCCCTTCATCCAGGCCACAGCCTGGAAACTTAACAAATATCTACCAAGGGCCTCTGTTTTCAGGGCCAATGACGGATAGGAGAAGAACACAGGCCATGACCTTTAGGAACTTACCACTTGGGGGAAGGGCTGGACAAGTACATGGCACAGATCAGAATCTGGGAGGGAGGACATCAGGGGGAGAGAGAGAAGCAGCTCTGTTAGCTAGGATAAGCAGGCATGGTGAAAGGAAGAGGGGCTCTTGCCCTTGACCTAAAGGGACATTGTGGTTTAAATATGAAGTGTTCCCCAAAGACACCTCTACGGAGAGCCTGATCCCCAATGCAGTGATGTTCAGAGATAGGGCCTAACATGAGGATGCTAACATTAGCGATGGTTGCCATTGATCGGTTCACAGCTGAATGGGCTATTAGGAGGTGAGGCCAAAATGGAGAAAGTGGGTCACTGGGGCCTTGCCCTGTATCTGTGTCTGTGTCTGTGTCTGTATCTATATCTATCTGTCTTATCCCTGGCCTCTCTATCTCTATCTCTCACTCTCTCTTACTGCCCTCTTCCCTCTCTCCTTCCTAACGACCAGGAGATAATCAGCTTTCCACCAACACACCCTTCTACTGTAACTTTTCTGCCTTGCCATACAAGCCCAAAGCAATGGAACTGGGCAAACATGGACTGAAACCTCTGAAATCATGAGCCAAAATAGGTTTTTTTCTCTTTTAATTTGTGTGTGTCTGTGTGCATGCGCGCGCGCACGTGCCAGGTACTGAACTCAGAACCTTGAGCTTTCGAGGCAGGTTCTCAGCAGTGGCACCACTGAGCTAAATCCCTGGCCCCTTCTTTAAGCTTTTTCCTCAGGTATTTGCTCACTGCAACAAAAAGCTGAATAACACAGGGAAAAGGAAGAATTTGACAGATGACCATGAAAAAGATATTTCAGACAGAGAGGAGTGCATGACCCACAGGAATGTATGGTGCTCATGAGGGGCTTATAATCAAGACAGGCAGAAAAGGACTGGATCCTATATAGCCTCAATGGTGCCTCTGGCCTGCCTTCTTCAACCCTGGCCCAAGCCCACTTACCTTTGATGAATTGAATCACAGTCAGGTCTGGTGCCATCTGGGATGGGTCACCTTGCTTCTTTGAGGACTCCCCAGGGCTCTGTTCAGAGTGAGAGTCCTCACCCTGGGGAGACACACAACCCGGGGCAATCAGCTGAATACCAGAGATCCTACTCAGAGTTGGCTGTGGGCTAGAGAAGAGAGTTCTGGGAGTGGGGAGGGAGGTTGGGACTTCTGTCACCACAAGTGTGGCAATGGGGGCCAGCAAGAGTTCCACTGGTTCTTGGCACTAAAGGTGCTTAACAGGGGGTTTGAAAGAGGGAATGAAATTCCTGCGGTTAGTCACCAATATTACCATTCAAGTGACCACCATAACCGCCATTACCATTATTATTACTGTTACCTTAAATATCATCCCCCATTTGCATCACAAATATCCTGGATAAGTGATCAATTTATTCATGATGGATAAAGGTGCCATTGTGGTACCTGTATGGGATAATGATTATCATTGCCTCGATCTTGGTTACCACCACCAGCATTATCATCATGGTTGTCACTGTCACCTGAACCTTCAAAACCGATGTCACGCCACTGTCTGTAGCATCACCATTATCTGCACTTGTGTCTTCACTAATATCAGTGTCACCAACCTCATCTCCATCACCACTGCCACTATCACCACCCATGTCACTAGGAGTACCCTCCACTCCTAATCCTACCACCATTATCCTCCCTGTCACCAACAGTATCTCCATTCCCTCCGTCATTATGGATGTCACTATTACCGCTACCATCTGAGACCTATCCCATCACTCCCATCACCATCAGTGTCATTGTCACCATCGGCAGCACCTTTACCACTCTTACCCCCAACATGATGGCTCCTATGCCTCTGTCTTTAGCTATTATGGCACTCATGACAGTCATCACTTGGAGCAGAAACCTCCAAAAAGGTGGGGTGGTGTGGCCCTCCAGGCCTGTCCTGTTCTTTCCTGTCCACTAGGACAGGAAGGAAGTTGGGAGAGGGTAAGAAACAACAGCCCCTCTCCTCCTCCAGAAAAAGTCAGGCCACATCTAGAGGATGTGTTCATCTCTGGGCCCACAGTGTGAGGACACCTGTGGTCACTGGAGTGCATTCCTCCACCCAGGTAAAGATGGCCTCCTCAGGGAGGTAAGGGTGGCTCCTGAGGGAGCTTCTGAGGAAAAGAAGGCTTGCATACATGGTCACAACCATCATTTTCTGGGTGTCAAAAAGAAGGTAGGAAATAATAAAAAGTATCAAAGATCTAGATATTAAAACAGAAACGCTGAATCTTCTGGAAGATAAAATCAGTAAAATTCTTGAAGACAAGGGCATAGGCAAAGACTTTCTGAACAGAATCCCAATTGCACAAGAAATAACATCAAAATCAGCAAAGGGGACCATGTTACATTAAAAAGCTTCTGCACAGAAAAGGAAGAAATGGAGAGAAAAGACAATCTCCAGAGATGGAAAAATTTTTTCTAGCTGTTCCTCAAATGGAGGATTAATATCTGGAAAATGCAAAGAACTGAAAAAAGGAAACGCTCCCCAAAAAAGACTCAATCAAAAAAATGGGCAGCTGAAATGAATAGACACTTCTCAGAAGTTCAAATGGCCAATAAGTACATGAAAAAATGTTCAGCACCTTTGGCTACTAGAAAAATGCAAGTCAAAACAACACCGAGGTTCTACCTTTGTCTAGAAGGAATGACTTGATTAATATCTGGAAAATGCAAAGAACTGAAAAAAGGAAACGCTCCCCAAAAAAGACTCAATCAAAAAAATGGGCAGCTGAAATGAATAGACACTTCTCAGAAGTTCAAATGGCCAATAAGTACATGAAAAAATGTTCAGCACCTTTGGCTACTAGAAAAATGCAAGTCAAAACAACACCGAGGTTCTACCTTTGTCTAGAAGGAATGACTCTGTTTTTTATCGATTGATTTTTTTTTTTTTTTGGTACCATGGATTGAACTCAGGACCTTGTGCTTGTGAGGTAGGTCGTGGCACCACTGAGCTAAATCCCCAGCCCTAGAATGGCTATCATCATGAACTCAAAAAACAGGAAATGTTAATGAAGTTGTAGGAAAAAAGAACCCTTCTAAATTTTTGTTGGGAATATAAAATGATATATCCATATAGAAATCAGTATGGAGAGTCCTTCAACAACTAAAAGAAAATTTATTCAACCTAGCTATATCTCTTCCGGGTATCTTCCTGAAAGAGTTAAAAACACCATATAATGGTGATACATGTATACTCATGTTTATAACAGTACAGGTCACAAACAGCTAAGTCTTGGAGACATCCTATATGACTGTCAACAGATGCATGAATAATGTGGTGTATATACACAGCGGAGTACTATGCAGTCATAAAGAAGGATAAATTTGAGTCATATGTAGGAAAATGGATGCACCTTGGAACCATAATGCTAAGTGAAAAGATCCCACATAGAAGGTTAAATGTCAAATGGTATTTCTTTTACATGAGAAAGCCAAAGCATAAATAATTTAAAGAGCAAAATAAAACATAGATGATAGGAAATAGGGAAGTGGACCTTTTACAGATTGGAAGGGGATTTAGAGATGGGAGAAGAGGGCAGAGAGGAGAAGAGTGATAAATATAAAGGACTAAGATGTGATATGTGTGTATACCAACTTCTCACAATAAAGGCATGCATCACCTATCTTAAATACATACTAATGAAAAAACAAGAGCAGAGAATACCTACTAGCGCGAAAAAGAAGTGAAGGCACTAGGCACTTGCCTCATGTACTTAATGCATTGTTCAGACGGAGACAGGGCAGGCTACAGACCGGCCCAAGAAGGCAGGGCTCTGGTGTTCCCAGCTACACCAAGACATCTCTGCCACAAGCATGCTAAGGGACACCACTTGGCCAGGATGACAGGTGGGCATCACTAAGGAGGCATCGCCAAGGAGGGCTGATGATAATAACTTCTGGGTGAGGGTAAGGCCATCCTGTACCTGAGAACTAGGTAAGACCTCAGGGCCTTTGCTTCACCTCGGTGAGAAAGGCAGAAGTTGAGCTCCTGGATGATCTAATGGGATGGGCATTCAGAGTAGAAACTAAATTGTTCTTTATAGAAAACAAAGAAACTATTTTATATACATCTACGTCTCAGTCAAACCTTACTCCATGTCTATCTTCCCTGTTGGACCCTGAGCTCTGCAAAAGGAGGAATATTATACTTACTGGATCTCATTCTCTGTTGAAACCCAGGTGCTCAGCTCAGAGTCGGGCAAAATCATAGGTATCAGATAAATATCTATTAAAAGAGGGAGAGCAAGAGATGACACTAAACAGGGTTGGCTAAGGTTAATGCCAAGCTCTTGGAAGAAAAATGAGGACAGCAAGAGGAGATGCTACCACACCGAAGCTGGGGGGCGGTCTGGGACCCAAGTGCTTAAAGACAGACAAAGTTAACAGAGTGCCCCGGGGAGCTTGCAGAAAGGAGATTCCGGGCCCTTCCAGGGCACATGTGGGCTCCAGCCCCACATATCCATAAGCCTGTTAGGGGGGAGTTGTATGTTTCTTTACTCTCGAGCAAACAAATTCTGAGATAGGCAACTTCTCAAAAATCACACATCTGGAAAAGTGGCAGAACTGAGATCCGAAGCTCAAGCTTGTCCCCCTAGAAAACTCATGCTTTATCCACTAAGCCCTGGGGACCCGAAGAGCAGACAGAGTTAAGAGGCACCTTAGATTCGAAGGGGCCTGGAATCTCGCCATTTATCTTTGGGCAAGGCAGCTGGGTCTGTTATTCATTTATACCACGGGGCCACACTACCCAGAGCAGCAGACACCTGTGACCAAAAGGTGAGAGTACCAACTGACACACGTCGAAAGTGTAAAGCATACCTTGTATTCTGATGACTTAAGTATAATAAATGCCAAAATATTTCCTTATTAATTGTTAAATATTAATAACATGCCAACATTAGACTTTTAGAAATAGTGAATTAAATAAAATATATAATTAAAATGAATTTCTTTTCCTTTTGAGTGTGCCTACTAGAAAATGTAGAATTACTTATGCGGTTCATGTAATATTTCTTTGGCTGTGCTGCCTTAAAAGAGAATCAGTGAGTCTCCTCATCTAAGCCATGGGACAGAGGCCAGAGAGGGGAGTCACAGTGGGTAGGAGGCCTGGGAGGATGAAGGAGAGGGTGTTGGCATTGACGTGCTGTACCAGGGGCAACATAGGGGAGGCTGGAGGCAGACTGATAATTTCCCAACATTTCTTATCAGGGAGTGGCTCGAGAGCTCACCCTTGAGAGACAAGCAGAATCTTGTGAGTTCCTTGTTCCCAGGTAAACATAAACACGACTGCAATGTTATTTGCTCCCACTTGTACGTCCTTAAAAGGTTGACACTTCCCTTTCACACGCACCCAGCATGTCATTTAATTTTCACAACAGTCCGTCTCGTGCAGGCACCCTTACCACATATACTTCATAGGCAGGAAACTAAGGGCCCAAGGTGGAAATGCCCCCTGGGAGTTACTGGCAGAGCAGGCTCTCGAGGCCAAGTTCTCTGTCTTAAACTATGAAAGAGAGCAAGGGATTTGGGGACAGGAGGAAAGGGACAGACTGCAGGAACTGGGGATTGGGAAAGCAGGCAGGAAGGAGTGAGGCTGGGATTTTCAGGAGGCAGGAAGGGAGAGACGATTTGAAGCACAAACATAGTATGAGTGAATGAGTTGGTCACTGGGGGCTGGCAGGGGACACTGACCTGACTATAGCAAGTGTTTTGTTTACCAGGGCAGCAACTGGAGCAAAAGATGGGCTGGAACCAGAACTTTGAGGTTTAGAACCAGACTAAGGGAATGGAGCTTTATTCTGTGGTATCAGGAGAATGAACTGTCCCTAGCTCCTGTCCCCTGTATTCTCAGTAGGTTTCCTGCTCTTATCCCTCATCTGTTTTGAGGACTGCTGACTAATAGCAGCTTCCAGAAACAGGAAATATTGTGTTTTCTGTTCAGAGCAGGGCTTGAAATGTCCTGACCCATCTGGACTGCGGTTTGCCCAGGTCAGCAGCCCTGGGCTGGGGGCTGCTAGAACTTCCCCTCTTGGG